GGATGCTGAGAAAATGTAAACTTGGCAAAGAAAATCTTTAGTATGAAGCATTTCACATTTCAGAATAAAACCAAAGAAACTGGCAGATCGATACTCCCATACCTTAATGGCCAACTTTCTGTAGAATCTTACCAAGTAAAGGCAAAAAAGAAACTCTCACTCTAAATTTGCTAATTTCTAATACTGCTTTTATCCCTTCCTCCAGTGCCATCCTCCCTTTATGAAAACTAAACCTTACCGTTGGGGACTCAACTTAAACTTTTATTACTTCTCTCCCATCATCACTGTGCTCGCCTTCGCCTGACCTGCTGCCAACACAGTTACAGAACACGGCAGAGAATTAAACATGGCGTTGGTTTGAGAAGATGCATAAGAGGGAAGTTTATCAACAGAGGCTGCAGGAAGGAGGTGTTTTGAAGTGAGGAAAAGCGCATTTAAAAAAACACTCACGCTGCACGCACTTTCTACCCACTTTAACAACCGTCCCAGTTCACAAATAGTAGTTTTAACTCCCCTGATTAGCACTGACATCTGCAGCCTTTCATCTCTCCCTCCATCTTGTTTTTTTAATCAGATTAACCCAAACGGGCATCCTTTAATGGCCTCTTTTTTAGGAAAGCTGAAAGAGGAGAGATAATTAAAATAATTAAACCGCTGGGACCGGTCTGTGCACGCTCATCTCCGGCTCTTTTCTTTTCTTCTTGCCTTTAAGTTTTGATTCCGCCTTGCTTACCAATTCAAGCAGCACAGAAAAAGAGAGGGAGAGAGAGAAAGGCTCATCATCCTCACTTAATTGCATTAAGTTGACTCTCGGAGGTCCAATTTTTCCCTCCAAAACCAACAGCCAATGTAGGATCTGATCTTTAGGTGCATGTCAGCCTTCTAAATGTGGAAGCGGTGGGGGGAGGAGGGCACACTTCTAAACAGTCTTTATGGAGCATATTTATTTAGTCAGTGAGTGTATTTTGCATAAGGCCAAAGATAAAAAAAGAAAAAAGGAGGGCGGGAGTATCCTCTTTAATGATTATTTATTCATGGACTTTTAAGCTTTTAATGAGGACAAATGAAGGCGTTTTTCAGAGTGTCAGTATGTAGTATGCTTACCAAAAATATTCTTGTTTAGCATTTTCTTTTGCACTGTATGTCCACAAGGAATAAACACTAACATTTAAATATAAGTAGGAGTTTGGAGCAATCAGTTTATCTTGATCTTGCATACAAACATCAAATCTCCCGCAAGTTTTGATCAAATTCTGTAATGATGATGCAGATGATGCTGATTATGATTTAACAATTTTCAGTGTTCCTTGTAACTGGAGCTAAATCTCATTGATAACCACAACAACAACAACAACAACAACAACAACAACAACAAAAAGAAACTGAAATTATAGGAGTCTGGGTGTTTTTCAGAATAAGAGTTTTCTCATTTATTTCCAATTAAAACACCCATGACAACGTTATCAATCAACAGCCTTGGAATTGAACTGTTTTACATCAGCTATTCACGCCGGTGTAAGTTATTCCCCTTCATGCAAACACACGTCATACACTGGTATATTGTAGCTTCCAAGCTGACAGCCCAAAGGGAAAAAATTAGGCTATACTGCACCATCTGAGTTATATTCTACATTATAGGTGTACATATCTTGAATATTATAATTACACGTCTTCAGATGAATTCAAACTTCCTGTCAGAAAGAATCTAATGAATTCTTGCATGAGGATTTTACTGAGAGCAACAGCCCTGACATCTTCCTCGGAGTGCAGCCCCAAACTTTACACAAGCTTCGATGTCTTTTTCCCCTCTCATACACTTTCACTTCATTCAGATCATTTTCACAGGGCTTCATTTCAAGTTTGCACCAAAAAAAAAAAAAGAAAAGAAAAGGAAGAATCCCTTTGCTGGAAATACTTAAGATTTATATTTAAATTTTCATGGAATCTTTGAGAACATTGAGGAGCAATTTCACATTTGCACTGACATCTAATTTCTCAAGTAGAGTCTGAAAGCACAAATTGCCAAGGATTCCCTATGTGCCCAATTATCCTGCATCAATTTCCTTGACCCTGCGGAATGCTGGTAAATTAATCATATCACTTTTTCCCCCCCTTCTTCTTTTTTTTTTTAGGGCTCTCTCTCGTGCAATACATATGCACACGTTTGATAAACTAATCATACTTGGTCGGTTGTATTCAGAAAAAAAAAAATTCTCTGAAGCAGGATGAGAGTCAGCAGTCAGGCCCAGAGAACTGGGAACTGATGCAACATGCAAAGTCACATGCATAAACATGCAATCCATAAGCAGAAAAAATACAACGCAAAATAACAAAAAACCTATTCATTTTTGTATTAGTAAAAACTCAATTGTATTTATTAATCAGTAAATCATTGTGTCTAGTTTTCTGTATGCAGTATTTATAGACAGTAGATGATGGTAGAAGTATTAAAGAAAATAATTAATGTGAAGAGTCATTGGCAATATTATCAATACCTTTATATAAATAAATATACACATATTTTTATGTTTATACACACACTTTAACAGCACCATTAACAGCCTAAGGATCTAAAACATCTACGGTGATTGCCTGCATAACAACGTATTTACCAGGCTGCCTTACCTGTTGATCCCAAAGACTATGGTTGATCCTAACATGGCTGCAGAGTCTGGCGTCTGTTTTTGGAGGAACAGTGTCCTCTAGTGGAAGCAACACAACACACACAACAGTACAAGTACAAGTAAATTAAATTAAAAAAGAGGGCCGTGGAAAAACAACAACCATAAAACACTGATCTCAGAAATGTACTCATCATTTGGGAAAATGCAGAACAAGTGTTCTTCTTAAATGTCAAACAGCTAGGAAAAGCTGTATTTTTTTAAGGTATTAAACAAAATCTAATGGGGTCGGGTACAGATGATACACATGTCTTTACTGTACATTGTGTAATTTCTTCTGGCTGCAGAGCTTTTACTTTTGTTTCATTTTTTAGCTGTCCCCCCCCTCTCACGTTTTTATATAAAAATTCTACTACTTATTGTCTAGATTTTTGTTGTTTTGTATGTAACTTAAACACAAAAACAAAGGGCAATACAAAAACCTTTTAATCATGTAATACACACTTGAAATCTTCAAAAAAAAAGGCAAAGCAGCACTGATAGTTCGAGCAGTTGTTAATGATGCTGAGAAAACTAGATGAAAATACTATCACGCAAGTAAAAAAAAACAACTCTAGGTTTAAAGAACTTAAACCTTTGTTTTGGTTAAGATGCTGGTATGTAAAAGATGAAGATTTTCTTTTAACTTGTCTGAAACTGGATGAAGTGATATTTGCATGGGGCGGGAGGAGTGGGAGTCTCCGTTTATTTGTTGTTGTTTTTTTGTTGTTGTTGTTTTTTTAGACTTCTGACTCTAATTTCATAATTATGAAAAATCTGACATTCTGAGAAAAAAAAAGGTCAGAATTCTGACATTATTAAAGAGATTTTGGCCCTGATCCTCTTCCATAAAAGTCACCTCATTGCTACTAGCTATGTTGTTTATATCTATTAAATAATGCGGCAGAGCCAGGGAGCATTAGCTCGATGTCGTGCTTTTCTCCGGTAGTTTAGGATTTTTGTTGGGGTATTTGTTCAAATAGTTGGAATAAAGGCCATACTAGGTAAAGCTGGGCCCAAAAGTCCTAACTAGTCAATTTGTGGACGCACTAGAAAATACTTTTACATAGTAGGCCTATTTGCTATAATTGCCCAGGCTAGTAACTTTGAGGCTTACTATTTAACTAGTTAGCCGTAAAACATTCCCACGTGACATTAAGGACATTTACCCCCATTTACTCCTCGTTAATACTTAAAAGAGTTTATAGTAGGTGGACTTACCTTTAGTCTGGACAAACCCCTTTCCCTCCCTGCTAGCAATCTTATCTTAACTAAGCTAATCTAATCTTATCCTTGCCATATTATCAACTAAACTTTAACTGCCATTTATGGAAGCTTGTTTCTGCTGACACTAAGTATCTTGAAATTTTTAAATTCCGAGTTATTTTGACTTTTTGCAATTTTCTCATTTCAATTTCATCTGTTTTTTGTTTGTTTGTTTGTTTTAAGTGTTTTTAATTATTGTTGTATGGGGGACATATGTCAGAGGTAAGAATAAAAAACCTGTACAGGTATTACAATTAAAGCGTGGAATTTTATACAAGCAATGACTTAGACTTGGAGCAGTTCAAAGTCTGAATAAACATGTCCCCCTAACCCATTAAGCAAATTGATACCTTTTTGTTGTTGTTGTTTTTTTAACCAAATTAACACATAATCAAACCAAGGATATCTCCTACATTTTTATTTTAGTTTTACAAGTTCACAATGTCGTTTGTCTTAGGTTTTTTTTTCCTATCCCAGCTGTCATAGGGCGAAAGGCGGGGTACAACCTGGACAGGTCGCCAGTCTGTCGCAGGGCTAACACACAGGGACAGACAACCATTCACACTCACATTCACTCGCACATTGACACCTAGTGGCAATTTGGATTATCCAATTAACCTATCCCCACAAGCTGCATGTCTTTGGACGGTGGGAGGAAGCCGGAGTACCCGGAGGGAACCCACGCAAACACGGGGAGAACATGCAAACTCCACAGAAAGACCCCGGCCTGATGGTGGAATTGAACTCCGGACCTTCTTGCTGTGCGGCAACAGTGCTAACCACCGTGCTGCCAATAATTTAAAATTAATAATTTTAAAATTTATTAAGTCCAAATTTAAAGAACTTGAACTTTAAATTTCTAGTAGCTTAACTGAGGAGAGTAAGCTTATTTGTCTACTTCAATTCGAATGGGAGGTCACTTCCTAAATTAATAATATTGTCAATGAAGATCAAGAAACTAAAATTCAGTCAGAGCTGAAAGTAAAATATTAACCCATTTGGTTTTGTCCAAAGATTAAACTCACAATGACCAGAAAAAAAAAAACAAAAAAAAAAACGAGGAAAACTCAGAACTGTAGTGCAAAACATTGAAGACGATCTTTATTGTTCACAGTTAAACACAAGCCACTGCTTTACGAACTTCCTTTTTTGCCATTTTGTCCCAGATTCTCCAGCTCCGGTGAGAGTCCTGATTTCTTCCTTCAGTTTGTGCTGATTGTACCTTCTGTCTTGGTTTCTTCTGTCTTGGTTTGCTGTAGATACTACGGTTGGCATTTAAAGTGGATTGTTGAACATGCTTTAGATAGCGAGGCAGAAGGAAAAAACAGCAGGAGTTCCCGGTGGACAACAGGATTTAGATGGACTTCCACAGCCAGAGTTTACTTCTAATACTTCCAAAAGGGGAACAGGTTACTCCATGTTTATCAGACCTGCAGAAAGGAAAACCCATCGGACAGAATATGTCTGTTTTCAAGCGTAGTGAACAAGTTGAGAAACAACACTTATGTTTAGAGATGACTGAGGTCAGCCAGAATGCAAATATATTGCTTGGCACTTTCAAAATAATCGTATTGAACTGAATGTTGTGATAAAACCTGGGTCGTGCAACCCTGTCAGGTCTGATTCAATTTTAGTTCATGTACCCCAAAATTAAAAAGAAAAAAAAAAGGGGGGGGGGGGGGCAGGGGGTGTAGAAAATGTAGCATTTATAAAAATTCATAAAAATGTTACCAGTTTCCAAATCTCATTCACTCACTTTCCTTTTTTGTGGAAATAATCATTTTTGTGTGTCCGCAGCACCTACACTTAAACATTTGGATGCAAAACCAATTTTCCTTTTAACAAAAATGTAAAGGTTTGTCGGAAATGTTCTGCTTAAACACAGGAACAATAAAGTGTGGGTTCAAAATGTCACTAGAACAAACCAAAAACTCAAGCGAACTTATATTCGAACTTTGATTAGAAGTGATAACTGATGAAAAATAAACAGTGTTTTCTTTTTTTTAGAATTGCTACCATTTAAATAGAAAAAAAAGAAAATGTTTCAAACAAAAACAAGAAAAAAAAAAAAGTGAGTAAGCTGTCAGTTTACCCAAAATTCAGGTTTTCTGACTTGTGCCAGTTACAGTCAAAGAGACAGTTTCTGCCTTCTCAGCTTATGCAATAGTGATGAGTGGAATTTTGCTCACAGCTTTTAGACATGATCTCTAAATATTTCAACAACAAACCGTCTGTTACTGTGGATAGCCACACCACCACAATAGAAAGTAGCTCCAATTTAGGTGAACTGACTTTCTAAAAAGTAAATAGTCAAGGTGTCCTGTGTAGGGAGCTTCATGATTCTTTATCACTGTTATCAGCTTCCTGTCAGTGAATCTTTCAGCACCTTTGTTTTGTCAAGCGTAGCGTGCTCACTGGTAACATGCTGACATTGCTTGTATCACATTATCAAAATTCTTCAGGGAAATAAAGCATTATGAAAAAAAACACAAACAAAAAAAACCCCAAAAACAATTATAAGTAGAAGAACGTGGGGTGAAAATCCTGTTGTCCACCCAGAGTGACACTTAGGGAATGGGACAAATAACACTGAATTGCTGACATGTTCCTCTTGTCGATTTTGTAGCTCTTCTCCGTCATTAAATTTCAGTCTCCCTTCATCCCGGCTCAGTCCTATGTCCCTAACTGTGCTCATGATGGGTCTCGTTATAGTCCATGATCTTAAGCTGCTGCTGCCGGGGGCGACTTGACCCTACCTGTACCCTCCCACCACCAGGCCCCGCCCCTGTCTTTCTGCAGAGACTTTCCTGCCTGGAAGCCCTCTGCTGCTTCGGCTCAGAGGCGGGCTCCTTGGTGGGCACAGTGAGAGGAGTAACGGGGGGAGGGGGAGGGGGAGGGATGGGCGAAGGTGCGGGGCTGACTGGGGCAATACAACTTGGGCTTATCGACTCCACGCACAGCTCAGTCTTCAGGCCGTGGGCGAGGCCAGCGAGGCGAGGAGGTGGCTGGTCCTCATCACACTGGCTCTCACTCTTGTTGCGGAACAGCTCACGTGCCCTCATGCCCAGGAAGCTCTTGGCACTGGGGTAGGAGCCCACGGTGAGTGGTGTGTCGGAGGCAGCCAGGGGAGTGAGCAGGCTGGCGTGGGGGCAGGACAGGGAGGGCTCCACCAGCAGGGGTGGGGCAAGTTCCTGACTGCCGTTGATGGAGTTTGCCGTTGACTTGGAAGAGTTGCTCGCCTTTGGTTGCCCTGGCGATAAAGTGCTGCCATTGCCATGAGGGGAGTCATGTGGTGGTCTGCTGTCTGTGTCCTCGTTGTTGTGAATGTTACTTGGTCCATCTGGCACGATGCCACTGTGGTGGGGAGAAAAAAAATTATTTCAGAGTGGACCAAATAGCTGAAGTTTTTTTTTTTTGTTTTTTTTTTTTAAATGAAAAGAAACAGTGAAACATACATTTTCCATTTTTTCCCTCCTCCAGGTTATTTATGAATAAATTAGACAACTGACATTTTTTCCCTTACAACTAAAGATTTGCAATGTTAAAAAGCCTATGAACCATCTATGATCCGCACAATAATAGAAGTTATCTATGAAATACTATGCTATCCATCCATTTGTGTCTGAACCAAAGTGTCAGACTCTAGTTTTCAGCTCTGCGGTTTTAGCACTAAAAAGAATATTATATCATTTGTAATGTACTAATAATACGATTTCACCAAACTGAGTGTTGGTGGATTTGCACACACTCTTACAGGTGCTTTATTATATGCCTTTAAAAAAAAAAAAAAAGCGCTGTCACACACTCACACACTGATGGATGCATTAGAGGCAACTCAGGGCTCAGTGTATTACCCAAGGATACTTTGACATGCAGGTTGGAGGAAGCAAGGACTGAAACACTGACTTTACTTTTGCATCGCAAAAAGTAACATCACAACTCCACCCTGACCTGGAGTCACAAGGCATGTGTGGGTCATCTCTGCCCTCTGGTGGTGAGCAGGAGGTGGTGCTGGCTGGAGCCTCCATCTCTACTCTGCTGTAGAGCTGCAGGAGTTCAGTCTGCAGCAGCTGAGTGATTCTCCTCTGAGCCTGATACCTGCTGTCTGAGGCCTGCAGCTCAGCCCTTCAAAGAAAAGAGAGAAGACACTGGTTCAATGTAGGAAAAGACAAACATGGAGAGAGAACATGAGACAAAATTGTGGGGGGAGCCAAATGTTTTGTTTGTAGGAAAAATGATCTTGCCTACTTGCACAACTAGTTTATGATCCGTACTAAAGTAGCGATCCATCTTCTCACACAAAGATTACGACAAACGCTAATTTTCAAATTACACAATGCTGCTTTAAGTTATACAGAATAGAGTTACATTAAATTCTCTTTTTGTTTGAATCCTGGTGCTCACTTTGCTTGACATTTTACGTCCTCGAGGAACTTCTTTTGCTCTGCGATAAGGTGTTCCTTCTTGGAGAGAAGCGTCTCCAGCTCGGCGACTCTCTGCTGCGCTGCCTCGAGTTTCTGACCCTGAACCAGCAGACTCTGCCGTAGAGTCTCCACCTCCTTTCCGTAAGACACCTGCAGCATCTGGGCCTCCTGGGTGGTGGGTCACAACACAAGAAAAATGCATGATAATGGGAACAAAATACAGATTAACATTTTCTGCAAGCCTTACTACAAAGCTGTCATATTCTACAAGGTAAGTTATCTGCAAATTAGCAGTAAGTGGTACATAAGCACAGTCATGTCTTTGTTTCAAAGCATTATGATTAGCTGACTACCTGTGACTTCATTCACCAGAGTTCATATTGCCATGAAGTTGAAAATGCTTCACTGGGAGAGTTTTGTTTCACACCCAACAAACCCAATTAGTGTCCATTTTCACTTCAGTACGTCATCTCTGCTGTTCCCTGCAAACACACACGTACCTTTGTGTTATTGGCGTCTGCGTGCTGTAATTCCTGCATGGACAGCTTATGTGCCTCCCCGAGGAGCAGCAGCTGCTTGTTCAGGAAGCTCATTTGCTGCTGGGTGCTCTCGCTGTTGCTCAGCTGAAGGACAAATGAGACAAACAATGATGATGGAGGGCAAATTAGCAATTATGCTACAAATACCCTGTTCGAAAGAATTTGAGAAAAGCAGTCCTTAATGATCTGACTCTGATAAACGTCCAATGAGTTGCGGCAAAAAGTCATGTGATATTTCAGTACACAAAGAAATCCAAAAGATTTCAACTTTGTTTAAATGTGTCACACTTTACAGCCATTCTGTGAAATCGTCCTAAGAAATTACTTCCCAGGTCGTGATATTAAACCATATGGCCATGGTCTTGAAGAATATCTTGACTGCCTAATAAGTGAGAAATTTAAGGAATAATTCAGAATATGGTGAGGCATCTTTTGCCTCTGCCAACTTGTACTTAACCTGAATATCGTGAACAAGGACCTTATATATGACCCTATGGATGCTGTCTGATCTGAAATGAATAGACGCCTCCCTGCTCATCAGGATTTCGGTTCAGTCTGGGTCAGAGGAGGGAAACAGACTTCAGACCAATCCCAGGAGCCAGAAAAAACACTCAGACCCCCTGTGTCGCTGACCCAAAAATAAAGAGGGTGAGACAATATCTCCAAGGCAACGAGCCCTGGGACAATCTGCATGTTTTTTTGGAGCTCCCCAAGTCTGACCCAGCTGTCTGCAAGCCTGCTCATGGTACTGCACAGTTTTTCCATTTACAGGAGAAGCAAGAACATAGAAAAATAGAGTAAAAACACAACCTGACTGTGTTAGGAAGTTAGTGATCTCTCACCAGTGGCCATATAGGTCTGTTGGCAAAGACACGTTAATGTCCCTGAAGTTGAAAACTTGCTCTGACAGAGAATGATAGATATGATATAAGGATATCAGAGCTTGACTTAAAAAAAACCAGGTCAGGCACACATACCACTGGATTGGAACTTCCTATAGCAAACGGTATAGGAAGTCTTAATATGAAAGGCAATCAAAGACTGTGAGGGGTGCACCTGCAGCAGCTTTAAGTGCAGCTGCTACTTTTAGATTCCTCACCACAGGCTTGAAGCTGGCTTAGAAAGTTAACCACTTCTCTCTCTAACTGACTCAACTTTCATTTCAACCTGTGGTGACTTCTACCGCTCAGATACCAGACAGCAATTTTTGAGTCAAGGAATCAATTTTCAATCTGGTAAGGAGCACAATGTCTTCGACCTTCTCATGTTGGTGCACTGAGAATTTGTCTCCCAAGGTTAACCTGCGAGTCCTGCTGCCTAAAGACAAGCATCCAGTTTTTAACTACCTGAACCTTTGTACAGATGCACAACCCTGAACTAAAACCAAATTTAAATTTGGCAAGTCTTACAGAAGGAGTTACAGTGTGCTGTAATCACACCACGTACAGCATAGAGACACCTTCCTTTTTTCTATAACAAGTGGCAAAGCCACCAATCATCCACCAGGTGGAGGTTATCGCACTAGTAATGTAGCTACAAAGGTAGAATGTCACCAACAAAAGCCGAAGTTCTGACTGTGGTTTGAAATGATCTCACACTCTGTACTTCTTTACCTTGATAGTCATCTGATTCAGGAGGTGACCAGTGTGACAAACTTTGTTGTTGGCCCTTTGAAGCTCAGCTTCCAGTTCATCCATCTTCTTCTGATACTCCTGCAGCTTGCTCTGAACATGCAGGACAGATTTAGATGAATACCAAACTCTAATGTATACCGTATAGAAATGTTAGCACATCATAATATAAGAGTGAACGTGCATGTGTACCTGGAGCTCCTGGTTCTTGGTGTAGTAGTCGTCTCGACCCTGCTGCAGCTGTCTGATCTGACTGTGCAGCCTGGTCACCACCGTCTCCCGGTCCTCCCACAGCTGCCTGTATCGCTGCTGCTCCACTTGCAAGCTCTCCCTTAGAGATAGGATGTCCACACTCTGCAGGTTCAGCTGGTCCTTCTACAC